CACTTGTGTTTCTCTGACAGATGCCAAGAAATCCAACTGCTAGGTCACGGGGTAGCTTTTCTCTTACACTCTGTATCGTTGGAATGGTGCTACTTTTGTGATTTTTGAAAAAACTAAAAAATAGAAAGAGGTAGGTAGATGGTGCATGTTGCTGGCACTTAGGAAGTCGAGGTGCCTGAGTGCTGTCACGTGCTGTTATGTAATCTGCTACTCATTATGTAATAAAATCAGAAAAAGATGCTCCTCTGACTTCCACATCAGCAGGCAGAGAAGTCACAAGCCTTCATGTATGTTTAAAAGATGAGAAAAGTGACTCCCTTAAGAGACCTTGGGTCTTTGCGGATGGGAAATGTTACTGAGTCTCTCTGGCCAGGGTTTCCTGCCAGGAAAGCCCTTCTTGAAACCTATTTCCCTCTGAGCTGTCACAGAACCATAGAGCTGGAAGGGACTTTTTTAGCAGCCTCATGTGAAAATGCAAGCTTGTAACACTTGCCAAAAGGGGGAGTTCTGGGTTGTGGTAAAGGCAGAAGTGTTCAGCTGGGACTGTTTTTTCCTCAGCTGGAATTCCTGTGAACATGATCAACTGCATCTGATTAAATCCGAGCTCATAAAGTACACAGAGACCTTCAGGGCGCTCAGGACGTCGCCGCAGAACACACAGTGATCGTCCGTCGGTGTTTGAACTATTGGTTCATGGTTCTCCAAATGTTTCCCCAGAATTATGTTTCCCCTGAGACAAGCCCCGTTAGCTTTCAGCTGGGGCCATCGAAGGTCAGAGCACCTGCACTCGAGAAACATCTGCTGGGCACCTGTTGGTCAGACAGCCACAGAGCGCAGGGGAAACAGGGACAGAACCCTTGCTGTCTGGTGGGGTGACAGGTTAAATCTACATAGGACCCACTGTGCTAACATCTCTGCCTGCAGAAATCAGGGAAAACTTCAGAGAGGAAGAGGCAGCTAAACCGGGGCTGGAGGCCAGTAAGACAAAGGAGGGAAAAAGCCCCGGGAAAGACACCACCGGAGGCAAAAGTTTGGAGACCCAGAGGCTGGGGTGGGGCGGGAGCCTCGCGGCCTGGCCTCGGAGGGGACAGTAGCTCTGAGTTCCTTGGGGGAAGGGCCACTGGCGCTGAGCAGGCTGTTAGCCTCCAATATATGTCTGGGTAAGTCAGAGACTGAATGAATCCTTCAGTTGCAAACAATGTTCAACGAAGCCTTCTGCACTCCCGACCCCTCCTGGTATTAATGCGTTCCCGCCGGCTTGAACCACTGTCCCGTGGGGCAGCTCGTACCACGGTGATACAAGTGTTAGTGTGATGACTGAACAATCACGCTCGCACTAGCATGGCTCAAGCCGGCCGCCCGGCAGCGCAACCGAGGAATCAAGGCCGGTCGGTCTTGAACCCGGAGCTTACCGCGTGCTAGGCAAGGACTCTGCTACCAAGCTACATCCCTACCTCAATTTTGCCCAGGCTGACGGGGAACATTTGAACCTTCTTCCTCTGCCACCGCCCACAAACAAGGTCTTGAGTATGTAGTGGGCCCTTGCAAGCACTAGGGGTTCAGTGTGACGACAGCAGTCTCATGCTCACGGAGCTTACGGTCAACTCGGTAAGTGGGAGGAGCCACAGCTATGGCAGGTGCCTGGGACCAAGCTGCAAAGCAAGGCTTGTTCCTCCCACTTCTGGTTTCATATTCAGGGAGCCTGAGGGCTGACTGGTCATTTCCTTTTATTTAACCAGGTTAAAAAACCAAATGAATGTATTTATATAATTGGTACCGGGACTGGAACTCAGGACCTTATGCTTGCTAGGCAGGCACTGTGCCACTGAGCTATATCCCAGGGTCCTAAAATGTACTTATTTATTTTTTTATATTTAGTACAGGATCTATGGGGTACAAGGTCTCACTACGTAGATCGGATTCGTAGTGATTCTGTTTCCAGCCTCCCAAGCGCTGGGATTACAGGCGTGTGCCACCATGCCCAATCTCGGTTGCTGTCTCAGCGTGCCCCAGGGATTGAACCCTGGCTGTTTCACTGTGCCTAAGCAGGGGCTTTAGTCTGCCGAGCTATTTGGCTGGCCCTCCTAAAATGTACTTAGATTTCTAGTATATGCCAACTGTTGTATGAAGTAGTCTCTGAGTTAATTCTTTTTTTCCATTTTGAGACAGGATCTTGCTATGCCCTTCAGGCTGGCCTTGAGCTCTCTTTGTAGTCTGGGCTGGTCTCAAACTTCCAACGATCCTCTTGCCCCTGCCTCCCAAGTGCTGAGATTACAGATGTGGGCCACCATGCCCAGTTCTTTGTGTTAATTCTGACAAGCCCATGAGGCAGGTATCATTGTTATTCCATTTTCAGGTGAGAAAATAAGGTTCAAGGTGGTTAAGAACTTGCACAAGGTCAAACAGGTAATAAGCAGTAAAGCCAAAACTGGAACCCTTGGGGGCCGGCGAGATGGCTCAGTGGAATAAGTGCTTCCCTGGCAAGCGCGAGGGCCTGGGTTCAATCCCCGATTCCACCAAAAACAAAAAAAACCTGGAACCCTCGTTCTCAACCATACCCCACTGAAAAAGGTCCACAACCCTCACAAAGTTGGACTGCAGTCTCGTGTGAGCTTGACATTTTACTTTATCTTTTGGGGCCTCAGTATTTCCGTCTGTGAAATGGGGTCCGTGGATTCCCACCATGACCCTGCTAGGTCAGGCCAACAGTGAGTCGGGAGCGCAGCTAGGCGTCGTCGGAACCAGAGCGCGAGCCAAGTCCGGAGGAATCCGACTTCCCGGCTCCGGGGCAGGTTTCCATGGCAACCCAGCCAACCGCGGTCTCGCGGCTGAATGCCACGCGTCACTTCCAGTTCGTTCATTTCCGGGTCCCAGCCCGAGCTGCAGCAACGGCCCTCCGCGGCCCAAAGCGAGCCTCTGCCAGTTCTGCGCTCGCGCGGCTGCCCCTTCCGCCTTGCGCGGCCACCGATTTCCAGGGACTGCGGCGCGCGGGCGGCCGCCTCTCCCCGGGCCCAGCGCGCAGCCGCGGCCCGCCCG